TACCTGGCGCCGAAAAACCAGTAACGACGGTGCCAGGCGGACCTCTTTGGGGAGTGAATTCCATAGGTTGGGTGCCACCGCAAAGAAAGCCCTCCTCCGAGTACTTACTCTCCTAATTTCTTTCATGGAGGGTTCCCGGAGAAGGGACTCTCCCGCAGATCTCAAGGGGTGGTCGGGCATATACGGACATAAGCGCTCGTTCAGGTAGCCAGGACCCAAGCTGTTTAGGGCCTTATAGGTCATAACCAACACCTTGAATTGGGCCCGGGCTTCAATGGGAAGCCAGTGAAGCTGACGGAGGACTGGAGTCATGTGAGCACAACGCCTTGTCCCCGTCAGCAATCTGGCAACTCTATTTTGCACCAATTGAAGTGTTCGGACCGTCTTCAGGGGAAGCCCCACATAAAGCGCGTTACAGAAGTCTAGGCAGGAAGTCACCAGCGCGTGTGTCACCGTCGCCAGGCAGTCGTACTCCAGGTAGGGGCGTAGCTGATTAATCAGCCAAAGCTGAAGGAAGGCGCTCCTCGCCACCACTGTCACCTGAGCTTCCAAAGAAAGCTCTGGGTCGAGGAGTACTCCTAAGCTGTGGACCTTGTCCCTAAGAGGGAGTGTTGCACCATTCAGGACCAGGTCAAATCCACCCTCTCCGAAGCCCGATCCGCCAACCAACAGGACCTCCGTCTTGTCTGGATTTTGTTTCAGTTTTTTGGCCCTCATCCATTCCATTACCTCGGCCAAGCACCAGTTCAGCACAGCCACTGCCTCACCTGGATTAGTGGAAAACGAGAGGTAGAGCTGGGTATCATCAGCGTATTGATGATTCCGCAGCCCACACCTCCTGATGACCTCTCCCAGTGGTTTCATATAGATGTTAAATAGCAAAGGGGATAGAATGAAGCCCTGTGGTACTCCATGGCATTAAAATTAACGCTTGCCCTGCAAAGTAGAAAATCCTGTTTGATCTTGTCCCATGGGATTATTTTATGCATTGGTGGAATTATCTCATAGATTTCATGAAAAGCTTACTAATTTTCAGATCTCTCATAGATTTCATGAAAAGCTTACTAATTTTCAGATACACAAATATTGTCTTGTATTAAATCCATATCTTACTAAGTTATTACCTGGAATATATGCTGTGGTTCTGTTAGTACCCGAACATGGGGTGACTAGTTCTTAAGCTTGCCATATTTAAGTGAGAATAGAAGTCTAACTTTTTTGTAGGATTTGAATCATACATTTTGTTGTCACTTTTAAAATAGGTATTGTATATTTTATTAATTTGTATATTGCTTTTCTGTATAGATGTACCAAATAAGATCTCTTTCATAGTAGAGTCTCCTATACTTGGCCTTTGCATGTCTGGGCCTCAAGGGGAGTCAGTGGAGATGGACAAATCACCTGAGATTACCACTTAAGAAGGTGCCCAGGGAGTATATTGAGGGGGCAAAGCACACTCTCTTTTTCCAAAATCATCCCCAGGATGAAAAGCAGCAGCAGAACAAAGCAAATGCAGGAGGCTAGACATTTTTGGCAGTGTGAACCGTCCTTCTCTGAGTCCTCTGCAGGAGTAAATAGCCAGAATTAGTACACGTGTTTTAGAACAGGATCCTGATGATGATTCAAGAAGGGCTAGAGCAGTTATATAAAGCTCTTCAGTTGGTGAATAGCTATTGTTGATGCAAAGCCCATCTAGCTTTGTTCCCTATGTTTTGTTGGACAGCTCCCTTCTTCTTGAGAAAATCTTGTTCCCTGATTTGATAGACTCAGTCTCCTGTGTAAGAAAAGAATTTAAGCCACACAAGATAACACCATTAGGACATCAAACAGCAAAGTAGTTGTGTAACTAATTGTAGATTAAACATTTTGGCTTTTAACCTCTCCTTTATGCAAAGTGAATTTATGATAATAGCCTTTAAAACATTTGACAGTTGGCAGTATAGGAGTCTGCAAACAGCAGATGGCTGTTTCTATATTAGCACTTGCACTGGAGTAAGCTGATTAGCATACTTTGGTGTGTGGTCCTCAGAACTCATATTTTTGTTAACTACTTTTTGCACTTTATTGTGATGTTTGTATTTGTACAGGAGTGGGGAACTTGATACTGTTGATGAGATCATCTTGAAAATTAGCTTCCCCTTGTCCTTAACTTTGCTTCACTTGCTCACTTCTGCTCTATGTAAGGACTTCTACAGTTTTCCCAGTGCAGTGTAACAATTTAAGATGATGCATTGGCACAAGAACTCTTAACAATCCTAACTGCTTTTTCACAGTGCTGTTGGAGACCTAGTTTGGTGCAGCAGTTAAAATGCTGAACTAGGATTGGGGAAAGCTCAACTTCAACTGGCAACTTATCCATAATGCTCAATGAATAATGCATCAGTTGCACAAATTCAGCCTAACCTACCTCACAGGTTCATAGCGAGGATAAAATTATATGACATGAGCCATATATACTATCTTAAGCTCCTTGGACAAAAGACAAGCAATAAATTATGGGATACATCCCGTGTTCCCAGCAGTTTCTATAGTTTCACATGATGGGTTTAAGTATGTGAAAAGGTATTTTTTTCATATTTGAGCAGTGTCTCACATTCTCAGTTTAAAAATGAACAAATCAGATGTCTTGAAACAGAACTATATATCATAAGAAACTCAGGATTTCTACCAAAAATAACAGTTGCTTGTCATGTTTGAGGTTTGTTTTTCACTGTCTGCCAACATTGTCCTTTTATGAATTTCACCAATCCTGGCAGCGGTGGCCAGAATATGGAATGGAGATTTCAAAATGCACAGCATAATGAACAAGGTGAAACAATACTTGACAATCTTAAGAGATCACCTAACAAGCTAGGATGCACCAAAGCATAAAATTTTAGGGAGTGGATCCTATTTTATTGGATGTGAAACTGATAACCAGTGTGAGAAGGAAAATGATGAAACCTAAAATATCAACTGATTAAAATCATCTTTTGCTACACAAGTTAGACCTGAAGATGTTTTATGGGGACTGAAATCCAGAGTGACTTCCAGATGTTCAAAAAGTGAAAGAGCAAAATGCCTTCTGTTTAACTTGCTTTCTAATATATGAAGAGGTCTTCTATAACTACTGTATGGAAAGGAGGAGCGAGAATGGGCTTATTAACTGAAATAGATCACTGGAAAACTTAAAAGCAATTTCTGTAAAATTATTTCTATTTAATTTCTATTTTCTTTTAGAAAAAAAATCCAGGGTGGCAAATAACAAATAAAAAACAAATAAATGCAGGCCAAAAAAGCTGTATAAAAAGTAGCTGAAATAAATAATAGAAACATGCAAAATAAAGTGGCAGACCTTCCCATCCCCCATTGTCTCATTGATCTTGCTGATTGGAATGACTTTAAAAAAGAAAGCTGAACATGGACCTGCTCCTTGCCATAAACGTTCTAGCTTCCCAAATACATTTTTGCCTAAGTAAAACTTAATGTACACCCAACACAGTAGTTGTGTGCATTGTGTCAGCTAAGCAGTGATATTTGTCAAAACAAGAAACAGTCTTCTTTGTTAGTGGACAACTACTTTAATAACTATTCTAGTAGCACAGTCCGATATATTTCTACTCCAAATAAGTCCCATTAAGTCCAGTGGGGTTTATTCCCAGTGAATTGATCTAAATTTTCTGTGTCATTCTTGTTAAGAGGGATAATTTGAATACATGAGACACCCTGCACTGCCTCTTTTACGGTGTAACCTATGAAATGTCACCAGGCTATTAAATGAGTATTTTGCAGAATTTTTGCTTACTAGCAAAGCAATATACACAGTTGTTTAAGAAGGCTACCAAAACATTTGGAGTCTGGGTATCTAGCTCAAGTAAGGGCTCAGACTAGTGTCTACTGTCTGTGATCATGTATTTCCTAAATGCTGCACAGAATCAAGATATGACCCTGTCCCTGTTCCACAGGGTTTAAAGGCTCCATGAAGTGAATGGAAGATAGGGCTTGATTAAGAGAAACACAGTAACATACTTTAAGGCTTAGAGAAGGAGATGTTATTAAGGGAAAGGTATTACCAGAAAAGGGGATTGCCTTAATACATAAAGAAGTAGGCACCAATTCCAAGTATAAGGATCAGAATGTTAGAGGATACAATGATCTCTGATGGAGATAACAAGGGGGTTATCTATTGTAGTGCTTCCCCCCACCATTGGAAGGATGTGTTAGGTCAGGGGGTCTTTGGAAGTGGGGACTGTGTGGAGGGTGCTCAACTCTCAGGGTTTGGATTAGGCAGTGCCATGGAGCAGAGAGGGCCCACTTCTCCTTTGTTTCAAATAATTGTGAGACTTCTGCTTGCTTTGTATGATAAATTAAGGAAAATGTGTCTAAAATTTCTAGAGAAGTAGCTAAAAGATGCTGAGGTATATATCTTTGCATTGTTGAGAGAGAACCTTTTAACCTGCCTAGAGAGCCTCTGCTATTGGGTGGTATAAAAATGAAATTGAAAAAGGGGGGAAGATAGAAGCAATAGCGATCCTGGGTAGCAAGTTCAGTTTAACATAAATCATCAAAATGGTGAGGGACTGCAAAGAGTGGGAAGACTTTTTAAGGACACCCAAGTATAGATTATTTTTTTCAGTAGTTGCAGATAGAAACAGGCAGATCTTGACAGTACTGAAGAGGAAGAAGCAGTAGGATTTTAGTAGTGGCCTAGATAGTCATAAGAGTAGCAAAAATGAAGGAAGCTGAAAATTGCCTAAATGATGTTGGGCAATATTGGGTTAGACTACCTATCTTGTAGATCTAGATATTGGAAGATCAGTGTGTAGTTTGTTATGTTTGCATGTGTGTGAGACAGAGAGTACAACAAAAGTATTGCAAGACCTCTTCCATTCTAAGAAAAGTTGGCCACTTGCAGTAGTTTCTCATCTTTTTGTTGCAGATGAACAGGAGGCTTTGAATTCTATCATGAAGGACTTGGTTGCACTCCAGATGAGCAGGTGTCCAAGAAAATCTGGTTTTGATAGCATGAAGAACAAAGACACTTCACATTCCCACAGACAGGTAGTATATGGCTTTTATTACTGTGCTGAGTCATATGGATTTCACATTACCTTGTAGAAAATAGTCTCCACTGGCCATTGTCTCCCTTTGTTTTACTGTGCTAAAAAAACAAAAAAAGTTAGAGGATGATATCACACATTGGCTTTCTGTGGATGGTCTTACTATCTAGAAATCAGAATGTTTGTCCTGGATTTTCATGTCTCTCCTTTGGTATATCTCTGAATCTAGGCATTCAGGGTTATAAAATGAAATTATTTCTGCTGCCCATCTTACATGGTATGCATAGATATTCTCCCCCCCCCCCACCTGCCCCTGCCCACCCTACTGCCCTTGGTAAGTAAGTAGGAGATGAGGCAGCTAGGAGCCATCTCATGCTTTAGCTAAGCCAATTGCAAAACAGGTGGATGCCACTTCTAAGAAGGAGACCATTTTTTTCTGGTTCTGTCTTCAATCTGAAAACAAAGGTTCTTTACAGTTCCTGTTACCTTTCTGGGGTCTTTCTTCTTAAATATATGTTTATCTTATTTTTACCACTTCTCCCTAGCTTTAGAGCTTCTAGTGAAAAGAGGACAGCAGATACAGATAACACGGGTGCAAGAGAAAGGGACATGTGTAAGCTTTTTGCTGCTCCTCTGCCACTCATATTTCTCCTGTGGCAGAGGCAGCCACAAGTATCAGCAGCATTCTCACTCAGAACATACCCTGCTAAGCAAAGTGTAACCCAATTGCACCACTTAGTTTTTCTTCTTGGTCTGTGTGCATCACACATGTGGGCTCTGCACCTGCGTGGAGCCTGCTACCAGGAAGATCCAATAGCTAAGAGTGTTTTGGCAAGAAGCCCTCCCCCACCAGGACCACATAGAAGGGGAGGGGCTCCTGCCATTTCCCTCAGTTCTTTTTTGACTTTCTTCAGTCTCTCGGGAAGTTCTCTCACTGTTCTTTCTCCTCAGAACATTTTTCTTCTATTCTTTCTCGCTTTGCAATATTCTGAATGTCCTTCTCTTGTCCCCCACTCTTTTTTGGATCCCTTGCACACCATTTTTTCCTTAACTGTCTTGCCTCCCTTCAAAAAACACACACAAAAAGAAACCCTTTTCATTTTTTCCTTTATATACCATTCTCTCCAAGTTTTCTTCTTTTCTCTTCCAGTTACCTTTTTCTCTGCCTTTTCCCAATGGCATCAAAGGCATTGTTCGATTAAAGTATTTGCTTCAGCACTAGGCTTCCTCCAGCTGATGGACATTCATTGTGCCTTTTGTGCTTGGGTGAAGGCATGTTGTGGGTCATTGTCCACGTTGCCAGGCATTTACGAAACAAGCTCATTAAAAAAGGGCCATGGTGTCTGTATGGAATAAGGCCCTCCACTCAGTTGATACCTCAGGCTTGCCTGACTCTTCTCATATGTCTGTGATGGCCTCTATCTTGTCTGTGAGGTCTGTGCTGCCTCCCACAGCCACTGTACCTTCTGCACTTTTGCTGAGGCACCTTCACCACCCCCAACTCCAGGCAAGGCAGTGAAGCTAAAAAGGCCAAGAAACTGGCTAAATGGGCCAAAGAAGCATAGTCTAAAGAACTTTTGGTCCCAAATTCCAAATGGCACCAGATGAATTCACAACTGGTACCAGTCACCTTGGTGCTGCCCCTGAATGTTACTGCTCCTATACCAAAGTCTGTACCTTTATCAGAACCTGGAGCTGCTTTGGCGTCAGTGTTGGAAATCAGGGACACTCCCCTGTGTCAATCCTTCCTGTTGGCCATGATTTCAAAAGTGCCCATGGTACCATCTCCAGCTACAGCTTCACAAGAGCTGTTTGGTACTGAGGACTGCAGGGAACATTCTTGCTTTTCAATCTCAGAATGGGACAGACAGTTGGTACCGTTGGTACTGGAATCATACCAGGGCTTCTTTGATCCAAGGGGGTTCTATCATGAAGGCCCCACATACAATCTCAGGTATGGACTGGTGTATCATCCTGATATTTTGTGGGGGTGGGGCATGGACAAGTTGCAGAACCAAGACCCCAGCCTGCTTCTTGAACCTGCCCTAGTAGAAATATACTAAAACATAAGAAAAAAAATCATAAAAAGTTTACAATACAAAATTTAAAACCAAATTTAAAACAGTTGACATTCTCAAACCATCCTAACCAAAACTCATTCAACATAACTAGGCCAGATTGCTATATCTCATCTGATTCCTTAGTTATAACATTAGAGTCTAAGTCCTGGCAGATACAAGAGATTTTGTCCTGGAAGTACCTAGTGAACATATTACAACAGACCTCAAATGGCTCCAAGATCTCAGAGCCAGCATGTCATAGTCCCTGGACAATCTTAGAAAGTTTGCTGGGCAGCACAGAGAAGATTGAAAGGAGGCAGTCAGATATTGCTTCTTTACTTATCACTGCCTCCAAATTTATTCTACTGTAAGCACATAGCAGGGCTCAATTGTATTCTCTAGGAGTTTTTATTTTATTTTATTTTTTCGATTTATATCCTGCCTTTTTCCTACAAAGGGCTCAAGGCAGCTTACATTATCTCTCCTCCTCCATCTTATCCCCACAACAACAACCCTGTGAGGTAGGTTGGGCTGAGAGACTGTGACTGGCCTAAAGTCACCCAGTTGGCTCCATGGCCGAGTGGGGACTCGAACCCAGATCCTCTGAGTCCCAGTCCCATGCTCTTAACCACTACACCACACTGGCTCCAGTCATCTCCTGATATCACTGTACTACAGAGAGGGTGCTATCATGTCAACTGCCTGGGTCTCTGTATTCCAGAGATCGATCTGAGCTCTCTGGAAACCATCTGGATTCATCAGCTTTTGGGGGCGAACCATCTGAATGGGTCCCCTCACCCATGTAGAGGGGAAAAATCACTGTCAGTCTAAATCTTAGCAGACAAGGGGATCAGTTTAAAGTCCCCAACCTTCAGATCATGAAGCCAAAAAAACCAAATCTAGCATGTGCCCTGCTACATGTGTTAGGCCAATAACATGTTGAGACAGTCCCATGGTTGTCATGGAGTCCATGAAATCCTGAGCTACCCTAGAGAGTACACCCTTGGCATGGATGTTGAGATCTCCCAAGACCAGCAGAATTACCTGTCACACTGAGTAACTCTGAAAAAGAGAGAAAAGGTCAATCAGGTAAGGAAAAAGATACCCAAGTTTGCAACAACAAAAGTGGAAGCGTGATAGTTGTGGAAGATTCCCTGTTGTGTGATATGAAAAAATATGTATGTCATAATGACCGGGGGGCAGCCAAGTATGCTGTCTTCCTGGAGCCAAGGTTAATGATATAACTAATGGATTCACACATCTCATACAACCCACTGAGAAATACCCCTTCCTTCTCATCCATGTGGGAACTAACAGTGCCAGGAGAAGCTTTGATGAAATAACATCAGACTTAGTAATTCTACAGAGGAAAATCAGAAACCTTGAGGCCCAGATATTCTCCCCAGTCCTATCAGTACATGGAAGAGGAACTGATAGGGAAAGAAAAATCCTTGAATGACTGACTATGATGTAAAGAGAGATTTGGATTCTGAGACCAACAAGCTGAGGTTTGTGGAAGGACTGTTGGCAAAGGATGGGCTGCACTTCTCAAAGAACAGAAAACATGTGTTTGGCCACTACATGAAAAAATTCATCGAAACAGCTTTAAACTGAAGCATAGGGGAGATGGAAACGTGCAGTATGGTATACCATCACCTCACAAAGACTTATGCATTTCGACAGAGAAAACACCTCAAGCAGGGCCTAACATCAGTCTCCCAAAAAATGTAGGAAGAAAACCAGAGCACAAGAATAATGAACTTTGATATTGGTATGCTAATGCCCAGAGTAAAGGAAACAAACAACACAAACTTGTGCTCATAGTACACAAGGGCAATTATGCTCTTATAGGAATAACTGAAACTTGGTGGGATGACCCACATGACTGGAACTCTACAATTGATGGATATAAGCTGTTCAAGAAAAACAGGACAAAAAGGGATGTGGAGTTGCACTATACATAAGAGGAACATATATCTGCACAGAAATACAAGAGGAGGAACTTAATAGCCCCATTAAAAGTATCTTAAGTTTCAGCCATCCATCTTACCAGGAGAACCCATACAATTTTGCGGAACCCAACCCTACCAGACTCCTGAAGAAAGAAAGCAATGTCAGTGACAGGGGCTCTGCTTGTACTGTGGTATGACAGGGTAAGACTCACCTTACTGGAAAAACAACCAAATCCAGGCCTAGGTGGGTTCCATAGTCTGGGTAGCAGCAACTGATTCTTCCAAAGAGCTCAGTGAGATATTCTGCAACCCTTGAGGGTGGTAGCCACTGTAAAAGATCCTTGTAACCATACTCTGCAGGTAGAGGCCATAATAGATTCCAGAGCCTAGAGCAGTTTTGTAGATACAGAGTTTGTCTTCTATCACCAAATCCCCAGACGTTTGTTAGATATACCATGTCCAGGGGAGACCATAGATGGAAGAATGCTGTGTTCTGGTCCGGTCACACATGAGACTATCCCTTTGACCATAGAGATTCAGGGCCATAGGGAACAACTCCAATTCTGTCTGGCTAAGTACCCTGTTTTCCTCTGCTTCTTGGAAAGTCTTGGCTCACACTTCATGATCCATGGATTTCTGGGTCCAGAAGGGAATTGCTTTTCACTTCAGAATATCACTAGGAAAATTGTTGGGCTGAGCTTGCAAGTATGGCTATACAGCAGTACACCTAGGACAGTCCGCACCTGCTAGCCTCCTACCCAGCAAGTGTCAAGTCTTCCAGGATGTGATTGATTAAAAAGAAGCAGATCGACTGCACCTATCCTGTCTGGCCAAAGTTACTCAGAAGCAGAACTTGCAGCCTTATGGAATTTCTTAGTTTATTTCCTGCCATAGCCCAGCCATGTTATATCTTGGCCACTGACCAGTTACAAGAATTTTGGGCTACTCATATCCTCTTGAAGGAATGACTAGAGTTTGCAAAACAGGCT